GCGAGCAGAGCCCGCGGGCTGGGCGGGGTACCGAAGGGCGGCGGCGGCGGCGGCGGGTGTGGGGGTGTTTTGGGGGGGAGCGCAGCTTCGCCCGCCCTCGCCCCAACTTGGGGATCCTGGGGGCAGCCTGCCTCGCCCTTCCTTTCGGCCAGCTCCTGGTGCCCTGTGGGAGGTCTCCCAGTGTGGGGCTGTCTGCCAAGGGCCTGGACCCCACCGAAGGGGTGGACTCCAGTGCTTACAGGCTACTGGGCCCCAGCCACCCCTCCAAGGGCTTCTCAAGGGAGACGCAAGCCTCATGGGAGGGGGCGCCAGCAAGGGGGTGGGCCGAACCCCTACTTTGTGTTCTAATTCGGGCGGCCAGAGTGACCTACAGGGACACCCGCGGGGTCCTTTTCTAAGGGTCCACCTCACCGACTTGGTACTCATATGCCAGGAGGCAACTCAGGGGGGGACAGATCAGAAGGAAACTGGGCAACAGTCCCCACCTGGGGGGGGTCCTCTCAGAACCTGGGGGGGGTACAGCCCCCTCCAAAGGCAGCGACACGTGACACCCGAAGGTCACTGGCCAGCGGCTGAGCACAGCAGGGGTTCCTGGGCCTCTGGCAGCAAACTGCCCCTGTTGAGGGTCACTAGCTTGGGTGGCAGTGCCAGAGTCCGACCATGCTCTTCTGGTCTCCCTGGGGTGTGTTGGGGGCCTGACAGGACCCCAGGGTAGGTGGTGGGGCCATTGGGGCTCAGTAGGATGGAAGGTCAGTCCCGTTTCTCTGTCCCCAGGGGCCTGGGTGTGCTTTTACTCTGAACTTGGCACAGCAGGATTGGGGGGCCAACAGCAGCTTCCTGTGGCCAGCAGGGTCACACTGAACCCCATGGCGTTGAGGTTGAGGCTTGTGACCCTGGAGAGGACCGTGGTTCTTCACACCACGTGGCCAGGATACCTCTATGTGCGTGTATTGGGGGGCTGCCACTGTCACCATAGTCCCCAGCTGGAGGTGACCCCCACTGAGAAGCACCCCATTGGTGCCCGGGAACCTGCTGACCTACCTGGGTGCTGAGGCTGCTGCTGGCCTGTTGGGTGCTACTGGGGGAAGTGGCCTGGGAGGGACACCCATCAGGTGAGGGAGTCCCCCGAGTTGCCTGGGGCATGGAACTGCAGTGGGGTCCCCTGTGCAGAGATCCTGAGGTACGGGCAGCAGCCACCATAGGGGTAGCGGAACCACGGTGGGGGGGGTGGCCCCCGGAAGTGCTGCCACACTGCACACTACCCTGAGGCCCCCTTGGAACCTCCAGGTGGGTTTCAGGTCGCTAATCTCTGGCCCTGTCAGCTGTGACCCCTTCAGAAACTGAGAAGTGCAGCTGGGCAGGAGTTCAGAGGCTCAGCTGTGCCCCAGGGGTAGGGGTGGTGCTGGGGGCCACCCAGTGAGCAATGGACCCTGCTGAGTTTCGGTTTCATGTCCACATGGATGCAGCGCTCTAGAGGGTTTAAAGGGAGGAAGTTGGGGTCACTGGTGGGTCTTGAGTGAGGGATGGGGTGTCGCTGGCTGGCTTTAAATGGGGGCTTAGAGGGGCTCAAGGTGTGGAGCCTCTGGTGGGTCTTGGGCAGGGGTGGGGGCATCTGGCGGGTCTTGGGCAGGGATGGGAGAGTCTGCCGGGTCTTGGGCGGGAGTGGGGGTGTCTGCTGGGTGCTGGGCAGGGGTGAGGGAGTCTCTGGCAGGCCTTGGGCAAGGGTGGGGAGTCAGGAGGGTTGGGGGAATCCCTGTGGGCTCTAAGTGGGGACAGAGGGGATTCTCAGTACTGTGGCTGCCACTGGTGACTGTGGGAGGAGGGACAGCCCTCTGCGGATGGCAGACACCAGGGTGGCCGTGCCCGCCCAGCCCTCAGTGGTTCTGTTGTAGGTGTGGACACTGTCAGCGGCTGCAGCCGACGTGGAACGAACTGGGAGACAAGTACAACAGCATGGCTGATGCCAGGGTCTACGTGGCCAAGGTGGACTGTGTGGCCGATGCGGATGTATGCTCCGCGCAGGGCGTGCGCGGCTACCCGACGTGAGTGGCCCCCAACCCTCGGTTTGCCCACCCTTCCTACTGCCTGGTGAGGCCTGGGTGGCCCTGTGGCCAGGCAGGTGCTGACTGCCTGAGAGGCCACCTGCCCAGCATGTCCTGGACTGGGGGAGAGATGGGCACAGCCGATGTCCACGGCCCCTGCATGCAGCCAGTAGGCTGGTTCTGGGCACGCATGGGCTCTGGGCCCTCAGCGGCTGCTTCGGCCATCCTCCAGCGTAGCACTGCCCCCTGGGGCATCTGAGGGGCACAGTCCCGGCAGCTGGGGTTGGCCCAGTGGAACCAGGGAGGCTGGGTTTGCTGTCCTCACGTGTGCAAAGGTGTGGCCTTGCTGTGGTGGCCCAGGCAGTGGGCAGGCACAGGGAGGGGAGAGCAGGCCAGCTGCCTGGGGCCTGGTCAGGGCAGTGGGCGCCTGTGGGGAATGGCCACCTGAATGTCCTTGGGGCCCCGCCTTCCGGGTGCCCTGCGCTCAGCGCCTGGCTACTTCTGCGTGCCTCGGAGGTGCGCTGGCGCTGAGAGCGTGAGGTGTGGGGTGCAGGCATCCCCCGCTGCCCACTCCAGGAGGCCTCCGTCCAGCCCTCGGGGGACAGGGCCGAGAGCCGCATGGAGCGGGGTGCAAGAAGACCATTTCCGTGTCAGTCCGCACTGGCTCCAGAGGCAAGGCGCCAGGCAAGGTGCAGGGGGTCCCCACCTCGACACCCCAGTCGTGCTCCTGGGAGAGCCCCCCTATCATGTGGCCCGAGTCCTGGGTCCCCTGTCGAGAGCTTGGGCCCAGGTAGGCATGTCAGGGAGCCTGGGGGGCCTCAGCACCCAGTGGGGCTTGGGGTGGGGGTGCTGAACCCCCTATGCGCTTTCCTGCAGCCTGAAGTTGTTCAAGCCTGGCCAGGACGCTGTCAAGTACCAGGGCCCTCGGGACTTGCAGACGCTCGAGAGCTGGATGCTGCGGACGCTGGACGAGGCCCAGGAGGGCCCGGTGAGGGACCCCGCCCCAATCTTCAGTTCACCTCCCGCCACCTCTGTACTGAAGGCTGGTGCAGGGAGGGACCAGGCTCTGCGCAGCGGCCTTCAGTGTTCCCGGGTGGAGGGGCCCTCGATGGCGTCAGTGTTTTGTTTTGTTTTTATTTAAAGAACAGGTTATAGGGAAGGGTTAGAGGAGCAAAGGACATGGGTGTGGACACAGCGGACAGGGAGGCTGCTGGAAGGGCCAGGTCTGCTGAGAGGCCTGTGAGGTCCAGACGGGCGGCCGGGGGAGCGGCCCCTGCTGAGGAGTGAGTGAGGAGAAGTCCTGGCAGGTACACGTCCCAGGTCACAGTGGGCAGGAGGCCGTGGCCACTCTCTGTCCTTTATTGGGCCCTGTGCCGCATCCTGCTGTGGTTTCTGTGGATGAGGCCCGTGGCCGGCGCTCAGTGATGTGTCCTGGCCGACTGGGACTTGGTGCCTCTGAGCACATGTGGGGAGTGGGGGTGGGGTTCCTGTCACTTCTGTGGCCAGTCTGCCCGCAGGCTATAGTACCTGCATCCGGCAGGCCTGATCACCTGGGCTCGACCGCTGCACCTGGCCTGTGCCCCCCTGCACACAGCCCTCGGCTGCCGTGTCCCCTGCTCTGTGGTGTCACCTCCTTCTCTGTGGTGACGCCCCAGGGACGCTCCCTCTATCCCCCTTGAGTCTCAGCATGTCCTTGGTGACTGGCCTTGTCCTGCGGACTGTCAGGACACATCCAGGGCTCGTGGGGCTGGAGGGCAATTCAGGGGACGCGTGTCCCAGGGCTCCAGGCGGTGGGGGTGCTGTGAGGGCTGGGCAGGACCGCAGTGACTGCTGTGTCTCCCAGACGCCGCAGCCAGAGGAGGCGGAGGCCCCGCGGCCACCTGAGCGCAGACAGGGGCTGTACGAGCTCTCGGCAAGCAACTTCCAGCTGCACGTGGCACAAGGTACTGGGGGTGGGGGGAAATCGGGCGGAGGCAGTTGGGCCTGGAATCTCTTGGGCTGGCTAGGAACCCTGGCCGGGGCTGCCTGGGGAGGCTGCCCACCGACTCATGTCCACGGCACTACCAGGGCTAGGCAGCCCCTCCCTGGCCGAGCCCTATCATGGGGCAGCCCCCCATCCCAGGCCCCGGCCCCCACTCCATCTCCGAGGGTGCTCAGGCCTGGAGTTGCTGCTGCAGCTGCAGCCCCGTGGCCCTTGCTCCTGCTCCCACGGCCACTGTCCACACCTGTCCATGTGTGGCGTCTCCACAGCAGGAGCCAGTGCTGTCTGTCTGGGAGCCCAGACGAGGCCCCACCAGGGCCACTGTCCTGGGACCCCTCTTTCCACGGGCTACAGTGCTGAGCCTGCCGTGGCTTCTGGGCCCAAGGTGGACAGACTGTGAAGCCTACGCACCTGTTGTACCCAGCTGGTCTCTCCCTCGTCTCCTGGCTGGCAGCGTCGCCCAGCATCCGGGTCTCATGGTACCAGCACCCTTAGGGGGTGGGGGTTGTCATTCCCAGCGTCCGCCTGACCACCCCTCACCCGGCCTGGTCCCTGCTGGCTGGCTCCCTGCAGCCTAGACGGGCTCCACCCTCCCACTGTATCCCTGTGAAGCGAGCTGTCAGATGCGGGCATGGCCGCTGGCTAGCCCCTCACGTCAGCTGCCCCCGCCCCGCCTGGCCCCCTTACACTGGCCAGCCCCAGCTCCGCCCTTCTCCAAGGCGACCTCCTGCACCTCCCAGACTCAGGCCCTCCTCCCCTTCTGCACACTCTTGCTGAGCGCCGCACACCCCGAGCCCTGCTTCCCATGAGTCAGGAGTGGGGTCGGACCACAGGACATGGTTTCTGCTGGCCAGTTTGGGGTGTAGCAGGAGGGCATGGCAGGGGAGCTGGCCATGACTTCTGCGGTCACCATGGCCCCAGGCCCCTGCCCAGCCACACGCTGTTTGGCATGGAACGGCCCGGGGCTCTCACCCGAGAAAGGTGCCCGCGGCGCCCTGCTGTGGGGTCTGAGCCTGTGGGCGATGCTGACCCTCTGCTCCCCAGGGAAGCTTCATGCAAGGGTGGGTCTGGCCAGCTGGTGTGGCCCACCTGCCTCAGCTGTGTCTCTCCCCAAAGGCAACCACTTTGTCAAGTTCTTTGCCCCATGGTGTGGTCACTGCAAAGCACTGTCCCCGACCTGGGAGCAGCTGGCCCTCGGCCTGGAGCACTCCGAGGCCGTCAGCATTGGCAAGGTGAGCCCAGCGTGAAGTGGGGTAGTCTGCAGCCACATGGGCTGGGTGAGGGGGGGTAAGGCCAGCTAGGGACGTGACCTTCGGGGCCAATGCTCAGGTGCCCACTGAAAGCACACTGCTCGGGATGTCCGCCTGCTGGCTCCTAGGGTGTCCACCCCCGCCCACTATGGCATCTGGGGGCCTCCATTATGGGGTGCCTGTAAGCCCAGCACAGCCCCAGTGGGCACCTGGGGGCCTCCTTGCATGACAGTCCCATATCCGGGCCCTGTGTGCCTGGCTACAGGGAGAGTGGGGCCAGAGCCTGAGTGCGGGCAGCCACCCAGCAGGGCCTGGAATCCCTCATCTCTGAGGCCGAGACAGGACAGTCTCTGTCAGGATGTGGCCCTCACCTGGGCTTCACTGAGTCAGCCTGGGCCCCACATACACCCAGCCCACGGTTCCAGGCAAGGCACCTGGCTCCAGTCTGATCTGTTTGGGGGACCCTCTCCCGCTATCTACTTAATCCCGTGGGAAACCAGACACAGGCCTGGTGTGGGGGATGTCTGCGAGCTGGACAGGCCGCATCTGTCGGCACTGCAGGGACCTGAGCGTCCCCTTGGGGCATGGACAGGCTTAACCTGACTGTGTCAGCCCCCTTTGTCCTCCTCATGGCTCCCCAGGGGTCAGGGAGGTAGTCTCAGGCTGCCCCCTGGCCCGAGCCCATCTGGGCCTGGGAGTGGCCCCAGGGCACAGCAGACCCCTGTTTTTCCACTCCCCTCCCAGCAGTGGGTTTCATGGGCTCCATCTGTTCTGCTCCCCACTCTATCTCACTCCCATCTCTGGCCTGCACCCCATTTCGAATATGCATGGGCAAGTAAGTAATGCACCAGTCCCCTCCTTGACCCATCAGGTCTGAGTGACGAGACTGTTCAAGCCGACTGAGGGCCCCTCCCATTCCCGGGGTGCTGCACCCACCCCTGTCCACCCCATCTATGCACAGACCTGAAGGTCTTTCAGAAACTTGGCCCCCGGGGAGCTGCACCACCACCCCAAGTCAGTGTAGCCTTGTGAGGGATTTGGGTGGCTCCAGGAGGCTCAGACCGGGTGCTGCCCCCTGTGACCCGCTTGCCTTCCAGGTGGACTGCACGCAACACCACGCGCTCTGCTCCGGCCAGCAGGTGCGCGGCTACCCCACACTGCTATGGTTCCGTGACGGCCAGAAGGTGGGTGCCGCAGGGGGAGGGGCGGGGGGCGGGGATGCTCTGGGCCAGTGCAGCTGCACCCTTGGCCTCTGCATGGTGCAGGCCCTGCATCCTTCGGGCAGTCGGGCTCAGGCTGCCAGTGAGACATTGGCGCAGGACCACAGCCTGTCCCGGACCGTGGCAGTGGACAGTGTCCCAGAGGCAGCAGCAGCCTGACGTCGCCCCCCCCCCAGGTGGACCAGTACAAAGGCAAGCGGGACCTGGACTCACTGAGGGAGTACGTGGAGGCACAGCTGCGGAGCGTGGATGGCGGAGCCCCTGAGAGCCAGCCCCCAGAGGAGGCCCCGGAGCTGGGTGCCCTGCCACCTGCTGGCCAGGTAGGTGCTGCTGGTGCCGGACATGCTCTGTGCTCGGAAAGGAAGACCCGCCGGGTAGCAAAGCTGGGGGCTGGACAGTGGGCATGGGCACAGCCCTGGGGGTGCCCATGGGTCCAAATGTGCTGGAGTCTCATGGCCACAGGTTCGGCCACCCTCCCGGAGCGCCAGGCCATGGACATGGGCAGCTACAGGGACACCGGGGGCTGTGGCGGGTGCTGGGGGACTGGGAGGCTGGCTGGGGCAGTGACCAGGAACCCAGCAGGGCAGGGATAAGGGGGTCGGGGGACTGTGTGGGTGCTGCCCGTGGCCACGGCCTCGGCTGCTTAGACGGCACAGCCCTGGACGGGAGACCCCAGAGCTGCCTGGGCGGGCCTGACCAGCTGTCCCCCAGGGCGCGGTGCTGGCCCTGACGGACGGGAACTTCGAGGACACTGTGGCTGAAGGCATCACCTTCGTCAAGTTCTACGCCCCCTGGTAAGTGATCTCTGGAGGCGGCAGCATCTGAGAGCGGGAACCTTGGCACATGGGGTCCACCTGGGGCCCTGCCAGGGGATGCCGAGGACGCAACCTTTGTCCTCCAGGCTCAACTCGTCCACACACAGGCCTCCCAAGGCAGCAGTGGCCAGCAGAGCCCCACCGGGCGCAGGGAACTGGCTGCACGCCCTGGGCCTATCCCTACGGGGAGTGTGGCCTTCCTCACTACCCCAGGAGAATGGCAACTAGCAGCTCAGAGATCAGCGCAGCATCTAGGCTGGCCATGGCATCCATGCCCACCCTGGTTGCCATGTGCCCACCTGGCTCAATGGTGCAGAGCAGAGGCGATGGTGGGCCGGTGACACAGGGACACTGGCGGCAGCACCCTTCACTGCCTACGAAGGTCCTGCCTTGGCGGCCACTTGCCAAGCCCTGGGTGCACAGGCCAAACGCGGCAGGGTGACCGCAATTCCAGGGCATCCTTTCACACCAGCAGCAGCAGCCCAGGGTGGGGGCCCGGCAGATACAGGGTCTGCTCTGGGCACCTGGCTCATTGATCCCTCCCCAGGTGTGGACACTGCAGGAACCTGGCACCCACGTGGGAGGAGCTCGCAAGGAGGGACTTCCCCGGGCTCTCTGCCGTCAAGATCGCCGAAGTGGACTGTACTACCCAGCGCGATGTCTGCGGCCGCTACGGGGTAGGTGGCCATGGGGGCGAGACACTGCAGACAGGGGATGTCACAAGGACACAGTGCCAGCAACACTGACCCTCACACACACTCCACGCAGCACAACTCAACACTTCACACATACACACGCCACATAAACACAGCAACCAATGACACAGACATACTGTTCACACACAGGAACACAGCAGACAACCCACCACACCCCACCACTCAGAGCAGAGAGCCCACACACACACCAACTCATATCAGACCCCAAACACACACCCCACCCCACACAACAGACGCCCCTCCCACACACTCCACCTCACACAGCAAACACCCAACACCACCACACCTCACACAGCAGACACCCCAATTCACACAGCAGACACTGCTCACACAATCTGCCTCACCACCACACCTCACACAGCAGACACCCCAATTCACACAGCAGACACTGCTCACACAATCTGCCTCACACAATAGACACCCCACTCACCCTGCCTCACAGCAAACGCCCTCCAGACACACCGCACCTCAAATAGCAGGCACCCTGCACACCCCAGCTCATAGAACAGACACACCACCTCACATCAGACACCCCACAGACACTTTGCCTCACACAGCAGACACGGCACATACCCCACCTCACACAGCAGAAACCCCTCACACACTGCACCTCACACAACCTGACTCCCTACACACAGTCCACCACACACAACAGCTACCCCACAACAACTCCACTTCATGCAGTAGATACCACATATACACCCTACCTCACACAGCAGATATCTCATACAGTAGACACCAACACACACATTCTCTCACCAGAGGACTCCCAACACACTCAGCAGACACCTCACTGCATAGAGCAGATACCCAACATACCCCTCCTTACAGCTGACACCCCACCTCACAGAGTAGACACTCATCCTCAAACAGCAGACAATCCACACTACCAGCAAACACCCCATACACATCCAAGTCACATAACAGATACCCCACACACCCATTCACACAGCAGACTCCCCCCCACACACACACTCACACAGCATACACCACACAGCAGACATTCCACACATACCCAACTCAGAGTAGACAACCACCCTCACACAGCAGTTATTCCACACACAAAGCACACACCCACCTCTCTTAAGACACCCACACATATCCCACCTTACACAGCAGACACCCCCAACACACCTCACAGAGTAGACACCCACTCTCACACAGCGGACAGTCCATATACACAGTTGACACCCCACACACACTCACCTCTCACAGCAGACACCCTCCAAACACCCCACCTCACAGCAGACACTCCACACACCCCACCTCACACAGCAGACTACCCACATGCAGACAACCCACACACATCCACCTCTCACTGCAGACACTCCACCTCACTCAGATACTCTCCACACACACTTCACCTTACAGAGCAGACATATCCAACACCTCGCCTCAGAGTAGACACCCATCCTCACATAGCAGATACTCCAACACACAGCAGACACCCCACACACATCTACCTCTCTCAGCAGACACCCCAACCCAAACCACTTCACACAGCAGAGTCCCCACATACACCCCACCTCACACAGCAGATAACTACCATGCTACAGAACTGACACCCCATACACCCCAATTCACACAGCACAAACACCACACACCCCATTTCACACAGCAGACTCCCCACATACACCCCACCTCACACTGCAGACACTCCCCATACACCCGCCTGACAGCAGACAGTTTATACACAACCCACCTCACAGCAGAAACCCCACATACACCCCACCTCACAGAATAGACACCCATCCTCATGCAGCAGTCACTCACACACAAAGCTAACACACCACACACATTCACCTCTCTCTACAGGCACCCCACATCACTCAGACAACCTCCACACACCCCCCACTTCATATATCAGACAACCCTGAAACACTCCATCTCACACAGCAGATGCCCCACACACACCCGACACCCCCACAACCCCACATAACACATCAAATACCCCAACACAAACCACTGACACAGCAGAAACCAGACACCCTCAACAGAGGACAACCCACACACAATCACATCACACAGGAGACGCCTCCAAAACACTCCACCTCACACATCAGATGCCCAACACACACTCCACTGAACACAGCACATACCCTATACACACTCCACTGAACACAGCAGACACCACACCCCCCACCAAACACAGTAGACACCCACCCTCACAAAGCACTCACTTCACACACAAAGCAAACACCCCAACACATCCATCTCTCACAGGAGACACCCCGCACACACCCCTCACAACATATACCTTAAACCACCTCAATCAGCAGAGTCCCCACATACACCCCACCTCACAGCAAACACCCCACGTACACCCAGCACCTCCCTAAAGATGCCTCCCAAACACGGCCTCACACAGCAGACACAAACACACACCTTCTCACCTAAGGCCACACACAGCAGACACGCTATACACACCCCACCTCACATAGCAGATGCCCCATACACATACCTCTCCTTACACAGAACATACCACAGCTCACACAGCAACAACCCACACACACAAACCCCACCTCAAAGCAGACACCACGCACACACACCCCACCTCAGACACCCTCCACACACAAACCACCTTACACAGCAGACACCCTATCTCACACAGTAGACACCGACCCTCACAGACATTCCACACACACAACAGACACCTTATACATATCCACCTCTCACAGCAGAAACCCCATACACATCTCACTCACAACAGACACCCTCCACAAGCACCCCACCTCACACAGAAGACAACCCCCACACACCCTCCTCACAAAACAGATACCCCATACACTGCACTCACACAACAGACACACACACACTCACACTGTAGACACCTGACACTCACACACCCTCCACATAATCCACATAGCACAGAAGGGCCCCACACACAACCCACCTCACAGAACAGATACCTCACACATTGTACCTCTCATAGCAGACACCCCAACTTTACACTACAGACACCACAGAACCTACCTCACACAGAAAACTTCGCAACACATACCACTTCACATAGCAGAAACCACACACACACACACACCCTCACCAGAGAACAACCTGCACTCAATCCACCTCACCCAGGAGTTGCCCCATACACACTCCACCAAACACAGCACACACTCTATACACACCTCACCTCACAAAGCAGACACTGCACACACACTCCACTTCACACAGTAGACACCCACCCTCACACAGCACTCACTCCAAACAAAGCAAACACCCCACACACATCCATTTCACAGGAGACACCCCCCCTCACAACAGACACCCTACACAAATATACCACCGCACACAGCAGAGTCCCCAAGTACACCAAACCTCACAGCAGATATACCCCACACACCTGAAGATATTCCACACACCCCACCCACAGAGCAGACCCCCCACATATACCCCACCTCACAATAGATGCCCTGCACACACTGAAACTCACACAACACATTCCCCACACACACCTCATCTCACACAGCAGGCACCCACAAAAACACCCTCTCACATGAGGCCATTGCACACACACAGCAGACAGGCTGTACACACCCAACAGCATACAGCATATATCCATCACACCCACCTAACACAGCAGACACCCCACACACCCACATCACACAACAAACAGCATACACACATCTCACCTCACACAGCACACACCCCACACTTCACACAACAGGCTCCACACACACACACCACCCTACATTGCAGACACCACAGACATAACCCACCTCATAGGAGAGACCATACACACCCCTCCTCACAGAATAGACACCAACCCTCACACAGCAGTCACTCCATATACAAAATGGAAACCCCACCTCACTCAGACACCCTCCACACACACCACCTCACACAGCAGACACCACATCTCATACAGTAGACACCCACCTTGACATAGCAGACACTCCACACATATCTACCTCTCACAGCACACAGCCGAACCCAAGCAGAGTCCCCACATACACCCGACCTCACACAGAAGACACCCCACACACACCCTCCTCAGACACCCTACCTCACACAGCAGACACGCCCAACATACTCACCTCACAGACTAGACACCCACCCTCACACAGTAGACACCCCACATAGAGCAGACACCCCACAGCATACACCTCTCACAGAAGACACCCCGCCTCACACAGCAGACACCCCCCCATACCTCACTCACACATGCTCCAGACACACCCCAACTTACACAGCAGACACACCCAACACACCTCACCTCAGAGTAGACATCTACCTTCACACAACAGTCAGTCCACACACACCACCTCTCACTGCAGACACCCTACACACACTTCACATCACTCAGACACCCTCCACACATACCCCACCTCACACAACAGACACCCGATACACTCCAGACCTCCACAGCAGAAACCCCACAACCCCACCTCACATAGCACACAACCACACACACTCCACCTCACCCAGCATACTCCCCAAACATACACCTTCACCAGAGGAAAACCCACACAAACTCTACCTCATATCAGACACCATACACACACCCCACATACACTCTATTTCACAGAGTAGACACCCACCCTCAATAGCACTCACTTCACACACAAAGCAGACACCCCCCACACATCAACCTTTCACTGCAGACACCTTCCTCACATGTCCCACCAAACAAGGCATACAACCCACATCACAAAGTAGACACCCACGCTCACACAGTAGACACTTTCCACACAGAGCAGATACCCCACAAACATCGACCTCTCACAGTAGACACCCTCTACAGCAGATAATCCCACCTCACACAGCAGACCACTCTCGACATACTTCACCTCTCACAGTAGATTTCCCCCATACAACCCACATAGCACAGCAGACACCCCACACTCATCCCACCTCACAGAGTAGACACCCAACCTCATACAGCAATTGGTCCACACACAGCAGACACCCCCCACCTCACTAAACTCCCTCCACACACACCCCACCTAACACAGCAGAAT